CGATCCCAATACGAAGTTCGCGAACATCAGGGATATCCATCGGGCTCAAATCGAAGCGGGTGAAAAGGAGGTTATCACGGCTGAATCCAGCGACTCTGAATGCCCTAGTGAGGCTGGCAGCTGTATTGTAGTGGGTGTGGTTGAGGATCAATAGTTAATAGTAATGAGGAGGTTGGGTTGTGATCCCATCGTTTTTGTGGTGCCAGAAACAGGGGGGTGCCAGGAAGTGGGTATGTTGACTTACCGCCGCTGAAAAGGTTTGACCACACCCTAGCGAACCCTCATACATACCACGGTGATGCTAATCAATTCTGCTAGATTGTCATGATCCACCGGCCATTCCTCTTCCTCTCGTTCCAATCTGACTCGTACATCCACACGCGCCGTACCTGCGTTGCAGCAGCAGTCACCATCCTACGCGAGCACAAAAGCATTGTAGAATCAGGCGAAGTCTCGCTCTGGACGCACATCGCCTTCAGCATCACCGCTGCCATCATTCTCTCGTTCGAGGTCATATGCGATCAGAGCAAAGAACGAGACAGCCGACAAGAAGGCTACCTCGACGCGATTCGCGACGCGCGAGAGCATCTCCTGGGCCGGACGACGAGTGATATCCTAGCACACCGCGGCGTGGTGCTTATTGATGCCATCTTCTCTGAGGTGGGAGGCATAGAGTCGTTTTCTGATCAGACACTCGCTGCTAGGCCTGATGCTATAAACTTTGAGGAGATTGCGGCTAGGTTCAAGACCGATTGGTTTATCCTTGATTCTTCCACGGCTGGTCTCGGGCAGTTTGACGTTGCGGAAGAGCATTTTGCTATGTCTGGCAATCCCTCTGAAGATTTCGACGATTGGTTCCAGCAGATATTTCACTCGACCATAGTTGGATAAAGTCTGGTTCTCATTGAAAGAAATCGACTTTACTGCATGATTGAGCGGCAGTTCTCTACCCACACTCGGGACCACCCACCGATGGTATCTTTGCTGGTCAACTACGAGCTACTGCTGAGTGCTACAGATTATCTTGTCATGTCTATGCGCATCGGGCGTTTGGAGTGGCGTTGCTCCCACTCCCTTTTCTTGCAGGGGTTGATATGAACTCGACTGCATCATGTGAGGCTAGGCGGCGACTTTGAGTGCATTGCGTGTCCAGCAATTGTTCATAACAGGGCACCGTCAGCTTGTCGGATTCGAACTCGACAGGCGATGCACCGAGGCTCCTTTCGGATCCGGAAGCTTCCAGTCACATGACTTTTGTGCGAAAAGGAATCACATGATCTCGCGTACTCGGCGTGTGACACCCAAGGTCCGTGCTTGTCGTCATAGAGGTTCTCCCCCGCCGTCGTCCCTCGGGGGCGGAAGTTAAGGCGAGGGGCGGCCAGGAGCAGCTCTTGCCACTGCGCTCAGTAAGGTTCTTGTCAATCAAGGTGGTAACCATCAGAAGCTTCACATTACTTCAGATTTCTCCCAGTATTCTTCACCTTCGACCTAGCTTCTTGAAAACCAGAATTTCGCCTGCGAGCGACTCCCAACCCCCGTTCACTGAGAAGTGCCCCTCATCAACGCCCATTGTATGCACGCTTTCGCCACGCTGATCGATTTCAATGGCGGGACCCCGCTCCTCGACGTCGACGGCTGCGACCCGCTCCGTATCCAACCATTCTAAGACTGCCGGAAGCTCCCCACCGAAGTCGGCAACAGCGACGCCCTCGCCGGCGCGCAAACGAAAGGCTGATACCTCTGATGATGCATCATTATCACCCCCATCGTCTCGCAAGGTAAAGAAGCTTAAGACGGTCGGCACGAGTACCGGCGAGAAGCGATTGCGCCGATACCGATCGAAACCACCTCAAAGCTTCCACGAAGTTTACCATCGAGCAACAACACAGCGCTTCTACGTTCTCGAGCGGCGGCGATGCGGAACTCCGGATGCGCCCGAGGAGGAGATTGAGTTGACTGGTTCTACTGGCAATGTATACACCGTCAAGATCGGCCAGACCCCGTCATGTAGTTGCCCGCACGCCATGAAGGGAAATCAATGCAAACACTGGCTTTATGTGCGTTCTTCCTCAAACCTATTCGGTCTCTGCTGGATATCTCTAACCATGGCTAGGTCATGTCTCGAGTCCTCCGCGCCAAATTCGAATACACATACCAATTGGCGTTGGTTCCCAGCGAACTTAATGAGATCTTCGACAAGGCCCCGCCCATCGATCCCCAAGCCGACGATTCCAAGAACAAGAATCGCAAGCCCATCGACGGAGACTGCCCCATCTGCTTCTGCGAGCTCGAATCTAATAACAACGAGACGATTGTATGGTGTCGCGCAGCTTGCGGCCAAAACATACACAGGGAATGCTTCGAGACTTGGGCTGCGACAAAACGTCGCGGCAGCTATGGCTCAAGTGATGTGACTTGCCCATATTGCCGTAGTCTATGGCAGGGCGATGATGATATGATGAAGAAAATCAAGAAAGGCGGCAAGTTCACTCGTGAGGGATATGTCAATGTCGCTGAGCAGCTCGGTATCAGTACACAAAGAGGTATGGTTCTACGTTAGGCGCGCACTGCTCTTTTAGGTTGCTAACCTATGGTCACAGACTATAGTACCTATTCTAGATGGTGGAGAGGAAGTTACTAATATGGTTTCGCATACATCCTATTTACGACCGTCACACGAAACGACAGAGTGACGGAGACGTTGTCATATTGATGTGTGGCGCCTCATCTAGCCATGGCCACCCTTAGAGGCCCCGCTTTCACGTGCACCGTCTGGCCATCTATTCCATTCGTCGTTTTGTGAGGGGGGTTTCTATCATGGACACTTTGCAAGCTCCATTCAAACACTCACAGGATGAATGAGACGGAAGACTGCCCCATGAGTCTCTTTGCCATAGAGTCATCTTCCCCAAAGTCTTATCCATGCAAAGTTGAATAGGTATAGCGCCTTCCTCGTCATGAGTAGAACACAATGTTTCTTAACAGCCTTAAGCTAGGGCTAACCTTTCACATAGCACGCTTGTCCGACGTCCAGCACCTAGACTCGGCGGTCAGGTACGATGCATCATTGACCTTGTTTCAATCCGATCAAGCTCAACCTGCCTCGCTCGCGTTCACTTCCGAATTTCTTATCCTAAGCTGGCGCCTTCTCTTGACCTTGAGCCAGAAGTAGCCGCGGTTCATAATCCAGTTGACGGAAAACACATCTACCATGGACCTAAGAGCTACGTCAGCTGTCAACACGGCCATGCTCTTTGCAGCTCCGACTGCGAATGTGTGGCGAAGGCGATGATGTATGTTCGGAACTGAGGAGCCTGAGTTTGGCGCGCAACTTGAAATTGACAACCGAAATTCAGCTCGGGATTGATTCTGATCATTTGAAGTGGGCATGATATGAAGGATGACAGGAGCGCCTCCGTCATTCACTCAAGTAAATCAGACTTCGTGCGTGGACTTTGGTGGTTTTGGGATGCTATACCAAGACCTTGGCAAGTGAAATCATGAATTTATGCCTGGTGACAGAGAAAGAGTTGGGTCGATAACTACCCAACACCGACGGCTTATGTCGTGAGCTAAACGAAATAGCACAGAGGGGAGCGTTCTCGATAACAAACAAATGCCCACGAAGGTTGCTACTCTATCCAAAGACGTGAGATGCGCCCTATCTTGAATCAATGGTGCCAGACTCATAGGCGACAGATACGTAGTCTTCTTCCCGCCATAGTCATATTCTTAATGCGACGAGTGTGTTGCCTCCATTTGCTGCTATCGACTAGGCCGCTTACAATGGGGTAATCAAGATGCTGTTCACTGCTAGTTACTATTGCATACTACAGATTCGATTGGATCTCCAGGTAATTCAAGCACTTAGATGGCTTGATTCAGTATATTTTACGAATCTTCGGGTAATGCGTGCAAGCTACTTTGGGTACAAGCACGTATTTTTATGTGCGTTTACTTTCTTACACTACATACATTCTCATTGCTTCTCTCGCTCAGCCTTCAGTTTCTGGTCCTCTTCCTCCGTCTTGGGAACCTTGACAAACGCCGGTACAGTAACAGCATTGAGCTTGCGCAAAGCCTGCAAAAGTCAGCGAACGTCACCTCACGGTACAATACCGCCTACCCAAAAGGGCCGCCACAACGAGACGCGGCAAAAGACGGCAAAGCTTGCCTGGCCAAGGAGCCCCAGCAGGGTCTTGGCGGCACTGGAAACAGAGACATTGAAAGCGTTGCGTACCTGGGAGAATGCTCCCTCGGGAAGATCATTGTTCCACTTGTCGTTGACCTTGACGATCTTGCCATCGTCGCCGACCTGAATCTGCACGACACTCTCCATGGTCTGCTCGGTCTTGATTCCCTTGACCGTGTAGCTATTCTTCAGCTCCAGCTCGATGGGGTTACCCGCCGAAGTGACGGTGTGCGACTGGATCCTAATGGGGTTAAACAGCGCCGGAAGACCGTACCACTGGGCGGCGAACTTGTCGTACCCCTCAGCGACTGTGATGTTGTCCTGGAACGTAGCCGTCTTGGACCACAAGGATAGGTGCTTCAGGGTAGGATTCCCCTCAAAGAGCTTTGGAGGATGATTAGCCGTAGGTTCCGAAATTACTCACGTAGGGCAAGGGTGATGCATACATCTAGCACGCTGCCGACCAGGACTTTCTGCTGTTGGGACAGTGATACCCCGGACTTTTGGACAACATCGCTGTTCTTAATGCCGACGGACTCAAACGTGGGCGCGCTGGCATCAGCGGTAGCCTGGACCTTTGCCGTTTCGGAGGGAGTGCCGGATGCCATGTTTCTTTGAATAGACTTTGCAAAGGACTTGGTCTCGGGATGGGTTGCAATCCGCTTCGCAATGTGACGGGCTGTTGAGTGCATGGAGATGGTAGAAGAGGTTTTGGTATGGACGAAAGGATGTGAGATGTGGGAGAGGACTTGTGAGGTTTTGTGAGGTTTCACTAGCTCTGGGTTGGAGCTGTTGGTTGTCAAAGACACGCCTGGCGCATATTCGTCGCGTCACTGGGCTGACGTGACGAAGGGATGATGATGAGCGCTGACGTCATGACTCGGACCCGGGGCGATGCTCCGCGACTTCGCTTCTGAGATGGCAGTCTCAATCGGGGATGGTTATTGCCCGAAACAAGATGTGTCGGCCTCCTTGGAGCTTCGCCTCCCGCATCCGTGCCGACCATTCTGTCTCCGAATCCCGGATGCACTGCCGGCGACGGGGTCCACTTTATTTCCGGCAGTTTTCCGGCGCCATCCGGTTCCTCCGTAGCATTCCGTTGGGGACCGCGCCATCAATCGGGTTATCGCTATTGAAATATTCACTGTCAACCAAGCATTCAAAAACAGGAATTCACCAAATTGGAACGATAAGTCAAGTGTTCGTAGTACGTCAAATTATTAAGGCCCGTTGCGCGGCGAGTGTCGTAATATGTCCGTCTCTAGAAGAGCTATGTACAGTTAAGAATATGTGTGTGAAGAAAATGCCAATGGGTATCCACAATCCTCTCATCCCTCATTATCCAATTCGCGCCGCGACACAACGGGCGAGGATGTCGAAGAAGCCCTGCGCCAAACCCCGTCATGTAGTAATTGTTGTTATTATGCATCACCGCAGGTGATGACAGTTCGCCGGTGTGCGTTAGCCGTTTGATACAAGCACCTTATTTGAACTCGCCCTTGCCGTGGCAGCGGGTGAGTGGGATCCAGCTCTGCTTCTTGCTGCAGACAGTGATGGCGCCGGAGACCCAGCTGACGCCCTCGTAGGAGCCCTCGTCGTGGGTGTCAACCATCCAGGTACCGGTCTGGCGCAGGGAGCCGATGCAGCCCTGGAAGACGCGGCCGTAGCGGCGGGTGGTCCAGGGGGTGGTGATGACAAC